ACAAGTTGATTTAGACCAACATACCTATATCCAAAATCATCTCGTTGACTTGGTACCTACATGGCGTTGGAGTTTTTTTGGAAAAAAATGATTTTGCTCATAAAAAGAGTAGGCTGAGGTCGATTTTCATAATTTTTGGCATGGCATGTTCTGTGACTGTAAGTCACGTATTGAGATGTTTTTGATCATCATCAGTGACCTGCAAGTGTTTCAAATAACCATGTTGCCATACAAGTTTGGTGATAACTCTTCAGAGGTCGGACTGGAAACTTCCAGTTTTTTTTCCAGAAAGATATTCCCTTCAGAAATATTTTTTGTATCGTGTTAATTTTTGATAAGTCTCGAGGATATTCAGGGTAGTTTTTTGTTTCAGGTACAATTCCTTGCCCTAATAATAATTTATGGAAGGCCGTTGTTCATGGCAGAATGTCGATATCCCAAAATCGTTTGTTACTTTTTCGTTCCACAGAACTTTTTCATGTTAGTGTTATTCTTGGACTTCTACAGAAAATGCTATTTGCGAAGAAATAAATCAAATGGCTCATTGAAATCAAATGGTTTATCTGACTCAGGTGAGTCCACTTCAGAACAAAATGAAAGTGCTCGAAAAAACAAAATGACCCAATTTTTTCGCCGTTTTCAAATTGTCATAACTATTTGAACAATCAACCGATTTCCGATTTGTGAATGCATCATTCAAAAGCTGCTTTTCTTCTTGAATATATCCATATTGCTCAATACTCGTCAAAGTCTTCTTGGTCATACACACCAAGTGCTCAAAAAAGTTTTACAAAAACAACAAGGGCAATTGAGATTTTTTCGGTTCATAATTTTGTTTTCATATTCCTACCTCTAAATTATATTTGGTGGTGTTATGAAGGATCAATGGAATCGGTCATATATTTCGAGTACTATTTACATAATTCGATTTGAGTGGTATTTCTACTTGAATTATTATTCACAACTAAATTCTCGCCTCGTACCTGCTGATCCATCTACTGTTCGAATCGATGAATAAATTATACAAAAATCACCTGCAATTCGAAGAATAGTTTAGCTACTCTGGGATAGGTGGCAGCACTTATAATATGTAATAGAAATTAATACTCAAACTGTCTATCGTTGACTGCCTGATTAGTAAAGGTGAAACAAAAATATGACCTCTCAATTTGAATGTTCTTACTATATATACAAACAATCTTTTCAGTATCTTCCTCTGTATTTATGAAATTTAATTTTTATTCATTTTTTCAGGATAAAATCATGGAGTATCTGAAGAAAAAGAGTATTTAAACTTCGTTTTAGAAGATTCCTTCAAATTCTCGAGTATAGGTACCTATCTATATATCATATTTTTTTAGGTTAGAGAAACATATATATTTTCTGTTGATATTTATTTTTTGACGTATATCTCAAACTGAATACAGATTCTACAAGAATATCTCATAGTATTTTTGATTTCCCAGATAACCACACTATTTTTGTAAATTTCTTGAAATATATCGTAATGCCAATGTATATTTCAAATTCCAATATCATTAAACTATTTTGATAACAAAATACAGTGATTGATACTCCAATAAATAGCTTATACCAGTCATTATACTATTTCCAATTATTATTTTCATCGATTAAACCTCATTGTATCATGTCAATGGCATCACAATTTGAATAAGTCACGTGTAACAATATTATCGACGAATGGGGTTATAAGTCCCACATTTCTGGCATTATTTCATTATACTGAGTGTTCCAAATTCAATTCTCACCATTGGGATCTCGGAATCAAGATGATAAGGATAGGAAGATGGTGAAATTGGGTTTAAGTTGCAATCTGTTCTATCAACTCCATATAATATGTAATTCATACATAATAAAGGTATTATTGATTATGATAATTATGCACTTTTTGTAGGTGAAATGGTTTTCGGTGAAATTTTCTGAATTTTTAGTATGTTTATGTTATAGAATACGATGAACTGACTAAACTTGCAGAATCGTAGAGTTCATTGATGGACAAATTTTGAAATACAAGGCGATAAAGTTACAAATCGGTAATTTTAATTTGATTATTTTCACAGGATTTGAAGGTGAAAAGTGCATTCTTTTACGCTCACATCATACAAGTACCTTCATATTATACTCAATATTATTCAGATGGTTTAGATTATTGTATACAGAGTGAAAAATAAAAACATTCTGGTGATGTCTGGAAATTTGATGTGATGATGAAATACATATACTATTATCATTCCATCATAAATAGCAATAGATTTCATACAAAGTTATTTGAAGAATTGGAAAGACATATGACCAATTCATTTATACACATCCTGTATGTTTAAGTGAATTGTTATTCTACGACGATAGCTGATAACGTATGATCATGATTTCGTTGGGATATATAGGGTAATCATGAAGATTTTCAATGATGAAAATCACAAAATATCGTGTTTTTGAAATCACCTTGTAACGTATCATTAGCTCGGTCGAAGTACCTAATTATTTTATAATATACTCATCATTGTAGTGGTCGACGGAGTTTCATCTGACTCTCTTATCCAAAATGCTGGTGTTCCGCAAGGATCAATTATAGCACCAACACTATTTCTACTCCATATCAACGATTTGTTGAAAGCAACTTCATGTCCAGTTCCAGTACACAGCTTGGCGAATGATAGTACCCTCCATACCGCCTTCTCTTCCAGGGCTCCACTACCAGCCAGGCATATCAGAAATGAACGAGGATGAAATGTTGACAACATAAATATGGACTTGGCAACAATTCTAGAATAGGGATCCAATAACTTGGTAGATTCTAATGCAAACAAAACTCAAGCATGCCTTTTCTCTAGGAAAGCCGATCTCACTGTGCCCAACATAACCCTGTCAGGAGTAACCATACCTTTGAAGACATCCATTTCGATGCTTGGTATTACTATCAGCAATAAAATCACGTGAGATCACTTGCTAAAAGTGCATCCCAAAAACTTGGTTTTCTGTTTTTGGCCAGGAGATATTTCACTTCCAGTCAGCTGCTTATGATCTATAAGGCATAGATTCGACCTGTCCTGGAATACTGTTCCCATATTTGGAGTGCAGCACCCAAACATACCCAGAAACTGCTGGATTCTGTCCGAAAAAGGGGAATTCGTCTCGTGGGTGATGCCTCGCTCACAAACTCACTCACTTCTCTGGAACACCGTAGACAAGTTGGCGATCTGGCCCTATTTTATAGATATTTCCATAGTCGATGCTCTTCTGAAATATCAACAATTGTTCCTCCCTTGGCAGTCCCCGCGAAATTAACCCGTCGAGTTGAGGCTTCGCACCGTTTATCCAACGAACAGCGATGCTCTGGAACACATTGCCAAGGGAGGTGTTCCCCAAGGCATATAACCTCCAGAAATTCAAGGAGAACACCAATTACGACCTCATTTCCCTTGGTTCTCACGATGTTCTCTGATCATTCTATGATATCCCTTTCCGTCGTCGAGATTGTCCTGTACATGGGTTTGAACAGCTGGCAATGTTTAAACATGTCTTTGGGAGGCAAGATGTCATAGAGGGAGAAAAATAGGTTCGTCAAAAGGGTAGTGATTCTTCTCAAAATGAGACACAATGATTTCTCTTTGATCCTATGAGAGAAAAATTATACAAAATATATAACATAAATAAACTGTTGCGATATAGAATTACTGACATTCTATAATGTCGTCTGAAAATGTTGATATTCTTCACTATCCTCTTCGTACCCACTACTAAATAGACATTATGATCTTGATGAACATCATTTTTTGTTTTTCATATATATTCAATAAAGGACGCTGAGTGACTGTAATTACAAATGTTTCGATATTTTTTTTTAATAACGTATCATATGTGATACCTTGGGTGTTGACCATTGCGAAGTTGTAAAATGATGTAAAACTATAAGGAAGTTCCATTCATAAATGAAAATCTTCGAAACAGTTCCTTTCTACAGAATGACACAAAAAAATCTCACAAGCACCACATCGTGCTAAAGTAAGCTTGTTACATCCTGGCTTGCGACACATTGATCTAAATTTTTGCGAATTCCTCATGAATTCTAGCACATGAATAGTACGTTTGGTCCTCAAGTTTTTACCAGGAATAGGCTGACCCATTCTCCAGTTTTGGTTGGAGACTTTCTGCATTTTCTTCATCAGAGCAATCACGATCTGCTTGGTCATCACCGTTCCTAAGGTTTTTATCTTCATCTAGATGAATCATCGCATTTTCCAATGCAAATTCGACTTCCTAGTAATCCATGTTCTCTTTTTTTGGCAAAACAGTTATTCTAGCAAAGCAGAGTAACTCTGATATCTGAATCATCGAAATCGAAATTATTAATGGCAAGTTTTTGCAATTCATGTGGATTGAGTGGTTCTGGAGAACAAAATGGATTGTATCGTTGGAAGCCCAAGGTATCACCTTTGATACGTAACCTATAATATCACCATTACTACCATAATTCGATAATATTCGCTGTTTAGACGATTAGTTTCGATCAACAACAAGTAATCAATGATTCAAATAATAAAAACGATATATCTGTCGAGAATTCAATGTTTCGTTGATTGAAAGACATGTCTGAACAAGGATGGACCAAATTCCATCATTGGAGCGACAATAAAAATTTTTGAACTGATGTATCATATAGGATACGCCTGAACCGAAGGGGCTATTCAAAAATCTTTCATATTGTACGCTGATGATGATGTCAAACAATTGTTAAATTCTCCAGAACATTTGACGAAAGGCCTAATGTATAATGAATGATATTATTGTATTTACCTCAGTTGGTATGTATTGATCGAAATATTATAATGCATAAATAGAAATAATGTATGCAAAGCAATTCTTCATTGAATACCATTCATTGTATCCATATTCAAATCAAACGGTAGTGGGTCCTGTCTCACAATCATTTGGTGTAGCTAGCTAACAGTAAAAATTGTAGTGTCATCGTATACAAAATGGCTCTTGTCCTCAAAAGGCTCTATCTTGGATATGACCACACTTTCGAGAAATTAGCAGGTGAGAAAATTATACAGGATGTAATTCACTTGATAGCTAAAAATATGGGATATGGTTCCTTAACCCTCTTGACTTTCGAGCTATAGGGTGTTAATTGTGTTAATAATAACGCCCTTCTAGTTCCGAGTATCTAGAAGAGTTTATGAACGCGTTACATACTATACTTTTTCTACGAACTCATAATTCCTCGCTTCGACAAAATTCCATTATTCCGAGAATGTTATTAACCTACCTGAAGCTACACAAATCAATTCGAAGAGAATGGGAATTGAGAACATATTACTATGCAACTTTCGATTCTTTTCGATGTGGATTTTGAAATCATTCCTGAAATTCTCAATCAGTTTTAAGCAGATTTGATCTCAACAGTTTTTTCAATCTGTAGAGATATAGAGATATATATTCAATTTTTTAGGTGAAAACTGTGATTCGGACCAAAACATTTCAAAATATCAAATCGAAAGTGGTATTACAGATATAAATAAAAAAATATTCATTCTTGATAATTCTTGGTAATTACCACCCTGTATCTCAAAAGTTAAGACGTTTAGGTAATATTTTAAATCAAAAATATATGGGTGTTCATGCAATAACCTTTCATCAGCTATTCAATGTTTTTCTAACGCGGCTAGTTATTATTTGGCGCATGCCCTGTTGTGAATTATGGAAGAAATCAATTTCTTAGTTGAATGTTGGCCATCTTCCTTAGTTTTAATTTAAGTTTCAATTTTCTAGTTTCTTTCATAAGCACCTACATTACATTTCTTAGTTTTATATTATTGGTTCAAGTTTATAATTCATTTAAGTTTTAATTTTTGCTTACATGAATCCACCTTTATTTGCAAAATACCGGATGTCCCAACTCTATTAATACAAGCATTTTCTCGAGAACGGGAGATATTATCAACGTTATGAAAAAACTGGCTAAAATGGGCGAGAGCTTTGCACAAAAATGATTCAGCACATACTCTATCTTTTGTTTTGAAATTACACCCCCATATTATCATGGCACGTTTGAGTAGCTTATTAGCTTACGTACACAATGATGTATTACACTCTCCATGAATACACCCTAGATAATGTCAAATCAACAACTCAAAATAGCTTATCATATTAGGAATTTCGTCCAAGTACCACTATCAAAGATCTAAAGTCGGAATCAGACGACTGATGTAAAATAAGTTATCGAAACAATCCCTCGATAAACCACCTCAATCATGTTTTTTTGTAGCTCAGCGATACTGTTAGGCTCCGTATATGGCATACACTTCTTGTTTTGAATGATCCCACTAAGAAAGTCTGAGGGAAATGAATCTGGGGATCGTGCTGGCCATTGTATTGGGTCAACATTTCTAATCCACTTTTCCCCAAACTGGTCATTCAGATGTCTAGTACATCAGTCATCTCATTCCGTCTTCTGATTTTTGGTACTGATGGATAAAATTCATTACACAGGGTATAAATTTGAAATAAAATTCGACTTTATGTTTCCCGTACACCCTGTAGTGAGTTTTTCTAACTTTTGTATTTAGCGAGATATTCGCATTGAAAGTTTTCAAATTTACACCCTGTATATGATAAGCTATTGGGTTGTTGATTTGACATTATCAAGTACGTACTTGTAGAGAATGTACCACTGTGTTCGTAAGCTGACAAACTACTCAAATATGCCATAATAATATGGAGGTTTCATTTGAAAACAAAAGTTAGTGACATGTGCTATGTGGTCGTTTATTGAGGGATAGTTTTGATTACTAATCATTGTGCAAAACTCTTCATCATTTGAGCAGTTTTGGGACACCTGGTATATGAAAATGAGTTCTAGCTAGACCAGCGAATCTTCAAACATCGAGGTCAAGTGACGTCACTCAAAACACATTATATTTCTTCCTTCTTTACATTGAGAAACTAGGTCTATTACGAGTGAAGCGATAGCTTTAGTGGTATGTGTATCTGACATCCAATGTTGTGACTGGGGTTCAATCCCTGCGAGGCGTCAATTTTTTTTTAATTTTTTCCACTAAATTGATTTTTCAAAAATATACTTTCTAGGAAAGAGGATAATTAAGGACAAGTTAGGTTGGAAGTACTTTCCTTTTTCATGCGTAGAATATATTTTCCTTCCTCATATTAGGTACCTCATAAATTTTATAAACACGAATCACCTTCTGATAACCTTGGAGTTTGGAAGATTCGCTGGTCTAGCTAGACGCTTGTCTATTAGTGTACCAACTGATTGTCAACTGCCGAGTGCAACTGATGAGGCTTGAGCAAGCCGAAACAGTGCATCTTGCACCAGCTCACATTTTGCCAATGAAAATGCTTTAGAATCACCTACTCTTGAAATTCTATGTTATACTTATAGAATTTATTTTTGTTTTTAGATCCCAGACCAGTGGAATTGGGTCTTATCCTTATGTCATCGCCTATATGGCCGATTCTGATTGTGGTGGCTTATTTTTATTTTTGCCTCAATTTGGGACCGAAGCTTATGGAACATCGAAAACCATTCGAACTGAAAAAGACTATTATAGTATTCAACATAGCACAAATTCTAATCAATCTTTACATTTTCTATGAGGTAAGGGAAAATTTCCGAAAACCAAGGAATTTCTCAACTTTGAACATTACCCTTGATTATATACACTACTCAATGACATTACCTAATTTTCAGCAAAATTATCAAAAGAGGTAATATATTTCTGAATGAAATCATACTGAAACATGTACATAAAGTGGGTCCACTTTGAAAACTTAACTATTATACCATTCCTGTAAGACCTCTATTCTTTATTGATTCATATATGCATTTAAATGGGTGTAGAATTCATCAAGAAAATTCGAGGGGTGATTCTGAAATGAAAATTGAGGTGGGAGTTTGGTATAGAATTTTTTTTGAATCTCTCTCCGGAAAATTACACCCCTCCGAAGATATGTTCTTTTCATTTTCTCGTGAATGCTTGGGTTTTCCAAAAAAACTTGTCGTGATAAAAAAGTTAGTAAATGATTTGGGCTTTCTAGTCACGTTTTTTATCAAAAAAACATGATCGTGAAAAAAAGACAAAATATCTTAGGGGTACAACTCCAGGTCAACGACAAGCGAAAAGGTTCATCAACCATTCGCAGAACCGAGCCAAAGAGCTACTCAGCCTCAGCAAACCAGAGCTGAAGCTTATCACAGACTTTCTCACAGGACACGGCCCTCTGAGGTACCACCTCAAAGAGATGGGCCTGGCGGAGACTAACACTGCCGCTTTTGTAACAATGCGACCGAAACCGCGCAACACATACTTTGCTCATGTGAAGTATTAGTCCGCCAAAGGCTGAACCACCTAGAACAGGTCTCACCCCTTCTGAAGTGGAGAATTCAACCGTCAGGAAAATCGTAGGCTTCATCAGAAGTCTAGGGTTAGAGGACCAAAACTAGATAGGGGTAATCACAATAGATCTTCTAGGTCGCAGTGATCGAGAGGTCTCCCAGCCTATATACGACCCATCTACAATCTACAATCTACAATCTAGGAGTACTATTCCAACTCTTTCTGAGCATACTTCAGAGTTGAAAATATTCCAAAATGTGTAGTTTTATTGACAAATAATATTGAACAAGTTTATTGCATTTTGCTGAATATACTGGGAAAATAAAAAAGAATAATTTTTTTCAAATTTCAGGAGGGGTGTATCTTCTCCTGAGGAAGGTTTTTCAACAAATTTCATACCAAATACTCACCTTGATTTCCATCACAGAATCACCAATTATTTTTCTTTGTTTTATTTATATCAATAACCTTGAAAAGGAATATTCTCAGATAAATTATGAACATACAAAATTGGATATATATTTATATAAAGCAATACATTGAGAATTTGCATTCTCTATGTGATGAGAATATTTACTCTTTCTCAGTTGATTCAATAGAAAACAACTACTTTCCTGGCTATATGCCACGACGAACATTGAATTATATCTATTGAACACACACGATAAGAGTTTGAAAATAAAATATAAAAACCTTCTTTTCCTTTTCGTAGGAATCTACTTGAAATGTGTATTCAACAAGTTAGTAGGCATATGAATTTTTGGGATAATTGCCACCAATAACTAACAAATTTAAAAAGCTCATATTTCAAAAAGTTAGTTGTTACCTAACGAAAAAATCGTTTAAGATCGATAAGATATTGAACTGTGAATGGTTTTCAAGATGGACCCAGTAATATACAGGGTATATCACGACGAGCTTATACAATCTTCATATCGAAAATCAGTCGGGAGAAATCCATGAAAATGTGCATGCTCATAATTTAGAATACGATCTCTTCATTTGAAATATTTTCGACAATGCAGTGTTCCTGTTTTTACTAGAAAGTAGTAGCAACATTGGGATTTCAAATGGAACACCCTGTATTTTATAGCATTTTCAGATTCTCCCTGAAGAGCTGGTTTCATCGATATATCACACTTGTCCCTATCTCAACTTTTGATTCACTATTCACTGATATTTAATAGGAACAGATACTGGTTGGTTCAAGATTCAGAATTCTGATCACCCTGTTTCTAGTCCGATTGAATATCAGTCAATAGTAAGTCGAAAGCTGAGATAGATATATGTGAGATGTTTTGGCCACTAAGAAATAGTTTCGACACGAACAAATCCTAAAGTTGAAAAATCTCGATGTTGAACACCCTATATCTCTGTAATCATTTCCGATAGACCCCAAGTGTGATCTATCGATAAAATCAGCTCTTCAAGAAGAATCTGAAACTGTAATGCAATACAGGGTATTCTGTTTGAAATAACAAAGTTGTTGCTACTTTTTTATAGAAGCGGCAACATTGCATTGCTGAAAATATTTGAAATGGAGAGGGTTTATTCTAAAATATAAGCATGCATAATATTTTCATTGATTTTTGCCAACTAATTCTCGATATAGAGATAGTGTAAGCTCGTTGTGACATATACCCTGTATACTATCAGATTAAGAATATGATTGTGTTGATTCATTCAATTGTTTTTTAGTCTTTTATAGAATTGAGCTATACTAACTGGAGCTGTGAACCTGTGAACTATTCACGGAGTCCTAGATTTTTGAAACTAGTGAGATTGTATCATCTATATTTTTTGGTGAAGCTATCAGATTTTTTGGATACGGTAAGTAGGATTCAAGTTGCAATATGAAATCGATCTTTCATAATTGAACAAACTAGATGCTGATGTAAGTGCTAACGAATTAATATTTGATTCGCATTTATCTTCTTGTTCAGTTATCGTTGCTATTCTCAGGTATCTTCTTTGTGAAACAAATAATATCACAAACATAATCTTCATATTCCTTTATGTTTTTGAGATACAGGGTGAAGTTGAAAATCCTCACTTTTTGAGCACCTCATGATTACTATACAACTTATCGGTAGGATTATTTTAACTATGTACGTCTAATACAGTGTCGTACTGATTTTATTTCTGTAATCGCTCATTTTCATAAAATTAAGCCAACAATTTTTTTTTCAAATGGGACATATGGGTATATTTCTATCCAGTACGATTCAGATGTTTTATACTTCATCAGCAGTATATAATATTTGACCTTTTTTTTCATTTGAAACAAAAACTATTTTGACTCAATTTCCTGAGAATGAGCAATTACAGAAATAAAATTTGTACGCCACTGTATTGAACGTAGAAAGTTATGTAAGACCCCGTTCTTATCATGCCGATAAGTTGAAAAGTAACCAAGATACGGGAGTTGCTCAAAAAGTGAAAATTCTCAATTTCGCCCTGTATCTCAAGAACATGGATTGCTGTGAAAATTCTGATGGCGGCATTGTTCTTTCTACAAAAAAGTAAGGAAGGGTAATATGCATGGAAACCGAAAGACTCTATCTCCAAAGATTACTGAGATATCGCGCAAACTGGACACACTGTACATATAGTTTGTGAAAATAGGAGGAATTTCAACGGAAGTTTGGTATTCACAATATTTATTACCTATAGTATACTGAAGGTCGAAGAAATCAAATATGAACACAATCTTTTCGAAGCACTTATTTACATAAAACTCATTAGAAAATGAAAATCTTGACAGCCTTGTAATTGGAACCCACGTGAATATACCTATTGCACTATAGGAAAGTACTTATTATGTGCCTCATATGGCGATAAAATCTTAGTTTTCTCCACTTGCTGGTGAATAAACGAGCAATAAATCACTTTTACTGCTAATACAATTTGCTACTTATTTCTCAAATTATCAAAAATTCCCCTAAAATTTGTATAAGGGAACAATACTCAATATGGTATTCGGAAGTGCTACTTTTTTCAATGAAACTCCTTCAAGAAATAAGCATTTTCTGGTCAGTTACAAAAAATAGTATCTTATCAAGGTATCAGGTGGTTAAAGGTCTTTGAAACACAACCCAGCGAGCACAAAAACATCTCAGAGATGTTAAAAGTACGAGATTTCGAGACATTGAACCTCCACTGCGATGTTCTGTTCACACATGAATAGATCTATTATAGAACAGCCAATGTCCGCCGCAGGCGGCAATTATCGAGATGTCCTTGATATGTCACGAAACTACCTTCTCCCTAGTTCTTTTTAAAGCCTTTTCATGGACACAACAGAACATTTTCAACGCGTCTTGCGCACATTAAATCGCTGTAAGGAAAACATTTTCAAGGTACTTTTCTGAAGCCTTTTGTCAAAATGAACTTTTGCATTAGGATTCCATTTCAATTGAATGAAAAAATGCATTAAAAATAAATTGAACATACAAATATTTTCTTGATATGAAATTACCTTCTTGATCGGTTTCTGAGTAGTGCTTACTACACACAGACATATAATTGGAAATAGGTTTCCCAATTTTCCGTACTTTTATATATTGATTACACTGAGGCACCGAACAACACATCTTGCATCTGATGGTCATTATTACAAACTGAATAAGTCTTCCAACACAATAAACTTCACCAAATCCCTTTCTGTTCGTTAGCAGCGTGATGTAAGCGTGACACGCTGCAAAAGCGTATGCCAATTGCGAACAAGAAGAACAAAATCGAAAACAAATCAGAATTCATCATATTGTGACGTAAGCATGAGACGTCGTGGTGGGGCAAACAAAGAAAGGGCACAAAAGAACAAAAGCAATACTTTCAATATCCTTCTAAGACCTCTTTGAGAAGTGCATATTACGCCTCAAAAAAACATCCTCATGCCTACATTTCTAAAACATCCCAAAACATCCCAGGGATACCTCTCAGTAGGCAAACAAAGAAATGCCACAAAAGAACAAAAACAATACTTCAATATCCTGCAAAGACCTCTTTGGTCAGTGCATATTACGTCTCAAAATAACATCTTCATGCCAACATTTTCAAAACATCCCAAAACATCCCAGGGATGTTTGTGCTCGCTGTGAAGCAACAGTGCTTTGAAGACCGCAGTTATTTCGACGAATACTTCACGTATTTTTTATGTATTGCTACACTTCAAGATGATAAATACTAGTATTATAGTTACAAAGACTGGAAATAGCAATAACATCAACTTAATATTACTTTCGTTGTCATGGAAATGAGGTACCAAATAGGGTAGGTACAAATGAAAAATATATCTACTCACCGCATCGAAAGTAAGTGGGTGCTACCTTATCCAAGGACACAAACCTGCCAATTTACACTCACGGGAGGAACAAAACATTAACTCCTGTGGGAATGAAATAAATTGGCTTCAGCTTGTTTTCTTGGTAGAGATATACGTATAAGATCTGCACTACCCAAGTATCTAATCATCAGTGTCTTCATCACTAACTACTATATTAAACAAATCACAATTTCATTTTTGAATTTCCAATGATGAACTTCCTAATATTTCAAACTCACTCAATCGAAACTTTGAATTAAATTCGATAACACAATAAACAAATTCGATGTGACAGAGGTGTCAGATTCGCAAATACTGGCTGTAACCTTAGATTAGGCATCGAACTTCACACGTGGCAGGAAATTGATACCTTTGCTCCCTTGATATATAAATAGTTTATAATATGACCTCGTTTCAAGAAAACCGGTTTTTTCAGGTGTTTTTTGTGTTGAGAAAAAGATACCGACAAGTCAGTTTTCTTCACCTATACCATCACTTCGGGATGTTCGGTATGACGTGGATAGCAGTCAGATTCTTTGCAGGAGGCCATGGAACGTGGCTCGGGTTGTTCAATTGTCCAATCCATGCAATCATGTACACCTACTACACCCTGTCTATTCTGGACGAGAAATGGAAAGCGAATTTGGCATTCAAGAAATTCATCACACAAATACAAATGGTATGATCATATGATTCATGAGATCTATTATCCCCGTATATAGGTGTTGGAATTTTTTGAAACTTTTGGAGGAGATATTTTCGATTATAAGCTGGGCATATTACTTATTTTAGAACAATATTTTCGATTGAAAAGGAATATTATCAGATATAATATATATAAAGAAATACATTGAGAATTCGGTTTCTCTATGTGATGAAAATATCAATTCTTCCTCGGTTTATTCAACAGAAAACAACTACTTTTCTGGCTATTTGCCACGTCGAACATATCTGTTGAACATCCAAAAATAGAGCACGAAAAATTAAATGTTGAATATTTAGAATGATATCATGTACATATCTGTATTAAAGGAGAATGCAAATTCTCTACTTCAGAAGATCTTGTTTTCAAATTCTCATCGTGTGTGTTCAATAGATGTAATTCAATGTTCGTCGTGGCATATAGCCAGGAAATTAGTTGTTTTCTATTGAATAAGCCGAGAAAAAATTGATATTTTCATCACATAGAGGATGCGCATTGTCAATATATTTCTTTATATATATATATATATCTGAGAAAGTCTCTTTTCAATATTTCAGATGTTTAAAAAAAATTTTAGCACTCGTGCGCGAAATACGTTGGTGATATCTACTATATTTTTTCAAATATCAGTTCAACTTGATACGAAATTAGCTATCTGATGTGGCATAGTTTCGATAAAAAACTTTTTATAATGAAATTTTGATGATACAAATTGTTTCAATTTCAGGTGCAATTCTTTGTGATGATCCTCATCTATGGAAGACTCCTCTTTTTGCCAGATTGTCAATACTCAAAACTGTGCTCTTACTTCTTTGTTCCACAAAACTTCTTTATGTTAGTGTTGTTCGCAGACTTCTACAGAAAAGCGTACATTTCTAAAAAAAGCACTGAAAATAAGAAAAAATCTTCGTGAATTGGTAAGTGGGTGTTTAGTATTTTGACCCTATATAGACCCTATATGAAATAACAATTGATTTTATTGTTAACATGACGACGTGCTGTTGAAACATAAGAATCAATCAAGAAAGTTCAGAAGACATTGCAATCTATTGAATTTTCTCTTCTAATAATCATTTCATTAGTTTTTATCAAACAATCATAAATATACAGTCCACTCATCACCAAAGCAACGAACATATTGGTCCTTCGAGCCGAATAACTATAGAGGGGCAAAGTACTAAACAGTGGGTAAGTGCACACTGTACCCTCATTCTCATGATTTCTGAAAACATTGCGTTTCATTTTCTGATATCATGAAGTGAGACTGATCAAGGAAAAATACAAAAAAATTGAAATACCTATAGGAAGGTACACTTCAGCAGCTTCGTTCAAGTGTTTCCTGTTAAAAAAATGTGGAATCTGTATGAGAATAATTGAGAAACAGTTGAAATTAAGGAAGGTCAACAGGAGTTCACATTATTGAAACCAAACACTGTACTTGTTTCTCATGTAATTCATTACATTTTATTTTATTTTCCAGACTGGAGACTCATTGGATGACTGAATAACTTTGTTTTAGAAGTTACTTAAACACAATAGTCAAATACGACAAGTTTCACACGAAATATATAATGTAATAATACTGTTTGCATCTTTGGATTGTCGAGTATACTTCAAATATATAATATAAATACATCCTGTAGCCATGGGCGCCCGCAGGAATTTTTTTTAAGGGGAGCCAGAGTCTAATTAAAGCAATTTATAACCATAGTCAACAATCAATATGATCAACAGATATTTCATGATATTTCTTTCAGAATCTTCATCATTTTCACGTATACGATGCAAAAAACTGAAATGACCACTTACGTCAGAGCAAACAAATTGTTTTAGTCATGAATATGTGGTAGATTTTTAGGACCCCCTGTATGAAAAAGAGGACCATTTGATATAGTATTGATTATTCGCCTCCAATTGAAATCATAACAAATTATCAATAAATAATGAAATAAAGATGAATTGAAGTAAATCTTGTCGATGTCCAGTACATTAATTCTGCTAGTTGATAGTAGCTATGTTTCTGAAAGCGATAAGAATTCAACAAACGAAGTGTAATATGTTGAAAAATGTAGGAAGTGCAAGATTCTCAGAAGGGGGGTCACTGCCCCCCCCCCCTAGCCCCTCTCTGTGGGCGCCCATGCCTGTAGCTTATAGTCCAGGAACTATGAAGTCTTTCTCATTCATGACGTATCATATTATAATATCTTGGTCTTACTCATGACTCCGAATAAAGTAGCATAAGTCGATACCATGAAATGACAGTTTTTTAAGCAATTTAGATAAGATTTAGGATCTCTTCTGATATGGCATATAGCAGTCTAGATGTAGATGGTTCTCGCAGGATGTTCAGGATCAATAGCATTATAGCAATAGAAATGTAAAACAGGCTATTAAGTATAGATATTTATAAGAATTTCACAAATTTAGATGTAACTCTTCTCAGTGTAGTCATTTGAATTAGATATGTTCACTTATAATAAATCTATGAACACATTTTGATATATTTGTTCTCAACCTTCTTGACAGAGTGATTGTTTATATTTCACTCAATAGTTATCTCAGTAAATATTGGTCCCATACTATTTTTTATATGCATTCAGAATCTATAACTAGAAAATGCAAAAAAAGCATCGTGATTATGAAAATTCTACATTAACTAGTGTCTTTCAAACTGAACTCCCTGTACTTTGTTTTTCTAAACGGTTCAACTCATTCTTCTGATTTCAATTTTATATACTTTATTGAGATGCAAAGATAACCTTAATGAAGTACATTTATTTGAAATCTATTTATCTAAAATAAGTTTTTATAATCATATACCTAATTAGAAGATATTTAATTTTTTAGATGCCCATAGGCCATATGGAAGAACAAGGTCATGGTCCAATGTTTGGTTGGATCATGACACTGAATATGGTCTTCTTCAATAAGCATTGTTGACTTTTTAATATCTTTCATTTACTGTGTTATGTTGAACTGCTTACTCATTGAATAAATTTATTATTATTACTATTATTAATATTATTATTATCGATTAGAAGAATACAATACAGGGAGTTATTTAAGAAAGTACCACTTTATGTAATATGTTTAGGTTTTCGTATTTTCTAGTAATAGACTCTGAATGCCTATAAGAATACTCAATTTTTGCCCATCTGAACGTTTGTTTAAGACCAATATTAACTGAGCTGGCTATTGAGTAAAATATAAACAATCACTATGTTTCCATACCTCCATTATTTTAAAAATGTCACGAGTATTTCTATTGCAAAAGGAATTCCGATGAGAAATCAGAGAAAACACCAAATTTCAAAAATAAAAACTATATGTGAGTGACTATAGTAGGAACTTACTTTTAAATCATATTGTGCCAACCGGATTCCTTCGTCTGCTGCTTCATTTTTTGTGGATTGTACAACAGCACAATGTGATGGCATGTGCGAATTAATGAATAGCTGAAAAACACGATTTCTATGCCAAAATAATTGGAAAAAACTATTTCAATCACTTGTAAACAAATAAGAAAAGTGAGGTTGTGTTTCGATGTTTGACCTCCAGGGACGGTCTTCTGACAGTTTTTGCACGCAACCCATTATTCCCAAAGGAATACAAAATATTCATAACCTCACAATGTCACGTCACGGACGAAGAGGAGCCCCACTACCATTTTAAGGTATCGCCTCTTGAGGTATAAGACCACTTTTTTGAGCCTCTTCGAATGTTCCTTTATGTGGAGCGTCGATTGTCTCATTCCTGGTGTGTCCTGCCATATTTTTAGTTTCCATACTTTGATATTTATAAAATTTATTTCACATATTCTAGGTTTACCCATGGGGCACAGGAAAGTTCTGATATGAAAAATAATTCCATACAGCTATACTCACATCATGTGGTATAATGGTCACCGTAATGTCTAATGAATCAAAAAAATTCCGAATAGGTCATCGGCGATATCAATTGTATTCAAATCATAAAAGATATACAGGTCAAATTGAAATATGTACCACTGTTCTACTGATTCCGAAACAATCCTCAATATTCAGAATTATGGTAGACATAACTAACAAAGGCTAAGATGATTGAATGAGTGAAACACAATTTGCTTAGGTGGAAAGTCCGTTTCCCTGTTATACAGATCATTCTGTATAAAAACTAATAATTAGACGTCCTGGAAGTGGTATCGAATTGTGATAAGCTAATTTAGAAATTGAATAATTTTATTCTACAAATTAATGAGTACAACGATGAAAAAGAGCTATCAAAACTTACTTTTGGGTGTATGATAAATTGACATTCATCATACAGGGCGTGGAAAGAAATTCTGCATTGAGACTTTCCATCATTCAAGTTTGAATCCCCTGATTGGGTATGACATATAGAGAATGCGAATTCTCAATGTATTGCTTTATATAAATATATATCCATTTTTGTATGTTCATAATTTATCTGAGAATATTCATTTTCATCACTATCAATACTTAAATCCAAAAATTTTAAATATTTCTATGTAGAGAAACATTTTCTTTGGAAACCATGATCAGATCATGAAGAATGTTGAATTTGAAATAGTAGAAGAAATCCATGACCCGGTGTTTTTAAATAAAAGAGGAAAAAATATTTCATTGAACATTTCAAGTGCAACAATAATCATTCTGACATGAGAATAATCACATGGAGAAACATCTGATACCATATAGCTATCTATTCCGGCATCCTAGGAAACTTAGAACGAGCTTAGAACTCACGACGGAGGTAGGTCATTGCCAATGCTGTCAATGAAGATCTTGCTGGAATTACAACCTACGGAATCGAAACATATAGTTGAATTCAACGTCATCAAAACTCGAGTCTGCATTTTCTCTAGAAAAGTCGCTGTAACAATGTCTGGTACCACCATCCCCACCAAAGTCCACAAAATATGCTCGGTATATCTTTATACTATTCTCTTGAGGTGGCCAAATCAGGAAATTCAAACTAACGATGTCCTACAAAATACGAGAGTTCTTGAAACACGATGTTTTATTGGGAGAAATCATTCTGGACAGTAGTTACTGTGGAATTGTGAGAATTGGTAGGTATATATTTTTGTAGTCAATTTGTTTGGAGAGATCGATACATTTCATAGGTTGATTTCCAAATTTCGCATTATACAGGGTTGTCCAGGTTGAACGCCTTCAATATTGATAGGCACTAGAACAGCTAACAACAGTAGAGAATTAGAAAAATGTTTCTTGTGAAGGTACAAGGTGTCAACATTTTGGGCAAAAACTGGTTGTCTCATTATAACTTTTAAATCACTCTACTAATTTCAATCAAACTATACACACAGATTGATATAGTACAGCTCCTAGTGATGATCGAGTTTTTTTATGTTCTGGTTCCCACGACGAGGGTTATCCTGTAATGTTCAGGGAACATCGTGAGAACCAAGGGCAATAAGGTAGGAATTGGAGTTCCTCTGCAGTTCTGCAGATCTCCAAAGTGACCACGAAGGGGTGCGAAGCCTCAACTCGACGGGTTAATCTCGCGAGGACTGCCAAGGGAGGAACAATTGTTGATATTTTAGAAGAGCATCATCCATGAAAATATCCATGAAATAGAGCCAGATCGCCAACTTTTTTACGGTGTTCCAGAGAAGTGAGTGAGTTTGTGAGCGAGGCATCACCCACGAGACGAATTGCCCTTTTTTGGACAGAATCCAACAGTTTCATAATATGTTTGGGTGCTGCACTCCAAATATGGGAACAGTATTCCAGGACAGGTCGGATTTGTGCCTTATAGATCATAAGCATCTGACTGGAAGTGAAATAGCTCCTAGCCCGAAACAAAAACCAAGTTTTTGGGATGCACTTTTAGCAATTGATCTCACGTGATTTTCCCAAGGAAACTTATTGCTGATAGTGATACCAAGCATCGAAAAGGCATGCTTGTGTTCTGTTTTCATTGAAATCTACCAAGTTATCTGATAAAATTCTCTAGTTGAGTACATACTGAGGATATCAGAATACCAGTCAGTCGAACTCGACAAGCCCAGTCAGCACATCCTTTCGTGGTCAAACTTGAAAGCTTTGGGATAATTCGCCATTGGAAGTATTCCTAAGAACCAAAGAACTTATATTATAACCTCCAAGAGTTAGAACGAAGTTCCAATACTTCCTCTCTCTATTCCCCCTGGGTACGCAATCACAAAGAATATTCAATTTCTGGATTGTTCAATTCAAAAAATAATTTTCGAATTACGACTTCATCTTTGTGATATTCAGTAGATTCAAAGAGTCGAGAGCAGGCAACGGTATGATGTCTTGATGTGTCGAAATTCCAACACCTTGAATCCATTCTAATTTTCACTGTTTCTTCGATCATTTTTTTTTATTTCTGAAATATTGTCTGCTTCTTGTTAGTTGTTCTATCACATTTATCAGAATTGAAACCGTTTAACCTGGATCACTCTGAATAAAATACACAAAAAAAGAATCTCTCGTATTGAGTATGACTGCAAGAAAATAATTTGTATGTATATAACGAAAGAGATGATATTCTTGTTCCGAAACAATTATTTATTCAACAAGTCTCTGGAATTAATTCATATTGACAAAACCATTTACTTATTTCAGGAAAACCATAATTTTGAGGTGAGAAATCCATCTACCATCAAGTGGAAACAATCATCTTCCTTATTTGCAACTATGGATTACTATTATTGAGAAATGTTCTCTTTCATTTCAAAATGAACGATTTATTCTAGTCAAAATTCCGTCAATCTTCAATAGACACGTTGATATTTTCGATCCAAATTTATGAGTTTTTCATAATGAATATTTAGCTCATTTACTCCAATAGGACTATTTTTTTTTTCAAAATATTGACTGCTCAGTTAAAAATATAATAATGTTTTTGATTCAAAACTGTGAATGATTCCTAATGAGATAATAAAACTCCAGAGAATATTCGTGAAAAAATATATTTATGTTCCTTTAGTTGACAATAATCCCATGTATAGGCACATCTTGGATCAGTATAGTCCATCATGACCCCAAACGGTTATAGAATGATCACATGCATTGATTTCGTCTTCTTGAAGTTTTGCTGGAAATGATAACGGTCACAAACAATGGCATAAGTATTATAATTGATTAAAAACTCACCTCTATAATATGTAATATCATGACTCCAGTAGTATCATGCCTTCTGGAAGATATCGGGTATATAGATTCGAGATACTCGGCAGGAATCTTTCTCTCACCTAATTTCAAGGTTCTTTCAAGTCTTTGCAATACTTCAATTGTAGATAATACTTCTTCATTCATCAATCAGTTGTAGACTGAGGACTGAGTTTTGGCAACAGGATTGCTTACCCTTGATTTTAGAGGCATATTATTTTCATTCAAAGAAATACCTATTCATATACTTGAATCAAGTAAATAAAGTATTGAATCAAAATGTTGCTTCTTCAATTAGAGAAATTATTAATATTCATCAAGTTGAAGATATTACATTCCCTTCATTTGAGAAAATTGATATTCATATTTTTGAATCAAGTAAATATGGCATAAAATAGAACTATCAGAAGTCTTCGATTTGATGAAATTGAAATATCAATATGATAAAATTAGAATGCTTCATTTGAAGAAATAAATATTTATATTTTTGTATGAAGGAAATTACGTATTGTCTCAATATATTAGGTTTTTGCAATTTGAGAAAACTGAATATATCATTCGATGAAATTCTTTAATTTGAAGAAATGTATACTTTAATTCTTGGATCAAGCAATAAATTTATTGAAACAAAATAGTATGCTTCTGCGAATTGAAAAAACCGTTTTGATTGAGTTGAAGTAATTAATTTAGTAACTGAATAATTGCATTCTTGGTTTGAGAATATATTTCAATAATATGACACTATTTTCTTGAACATACCCGATTTTTCGACTCAAAAGAATATGCTCAATTCAAAGAAGATATACAATTGAATTCTCAAGAGAAGAAGTTTTTTTTCTGTGTGTATACTTTGATGAGGAAAAATGTGGTTTGATATCACTAAATAATTGTCATTGAAAATTATACTAACCACTCTGTGTATTACAGTCCTTGTAAATAATTAGAATCAATGAGTTACCTTCATACATAACTTTCAATGTAAGTGCGAATGTCAATAATTGTTATTACTCAATAGTTTTTGCCTGAACGTTACTTTCTAAGATCGGACTACAAAAATTGAAATAAATGTATCTGATGTGTTAAAAGTGTTGCTATTTCTGAACATATATCTCACTGATATTCATATCAAGATGGCCCTGCTTCTGAAAAGAGTCTATAAAGGAAGTTTCTGGTTGCTCAATGACTTGTCAGGTATAAAAATTGGTTATTGTTGGTGATGGCAATTCATTTCCACAAAATGGGACTTGTCTTCCGCGAATTGAATAGTGAATCCATTTATCCAGATTTTCGGTACTATTTTTCCATATACCCATAAATAAAAGTATTAGCATTATTTGAAATATTGAATTGATATACTTTTTTCGATAAATGTGAAAGCATTGTTGAAATATCTAACAGAAAACAACTGCTTTTCTGGCTAATACGACAGAATATTGAATCTTTCATATATTGGGAATACGTAGGTATGTTTAATGTGTATGTGATTTCGGTTAGATATTCAAACAATATTCATTTTACATTTTTTTTATAATCTTTTCCCAAAATTTGACAGATATAATTCACCTTTGAATTGAATCCCATGCTCATAAAAGGTACGGAAAATATTTCCATTCCATTCACCTCCATAGGCATGACATTGCATATCCATTTTTATTGAGAAAGTCACACTACACGATAATTGATCATTGGTATTGATGACAACGCTTTTTTTTGTTATTGGCTATTCATGTTGTTCTTTGCATTTCCGGGACTACAATGTGTACTTCAGTCTCTTCATACGGGGACTAAAAAGTAAATTGTTGCTTACTGGCATCTTTTTTTCACAGGAAAATGACTAACTAACTAACTAATCTAGTCTTGGTCTTGGTCTTTGAAGTCTTGGTCTTGGATCAAAATGTGTCTAGGAATTTGAATTATTCAATTCCAATATCCAACAGTTTATATGCATATACTAGGTATTTCGTATTTCTCAGTCTTTACAATTGTCAATTACAAATAAATAACTGTAATAAAATGCCATTATATTTTCCATCTGATTTTCCTCAATCTTGAGTAGATTCAAGTTCATTATTTTTCTTTCAAGATCAAGACTCTTGGAAGAGATCCTTGGTCTTGGTCTGGCGAAGCCCTAAAACTAACCAACTGACACCTGTCAAAACGAATTCTATATATTTGACAGAATATTCAATTGTGCTATCTTTCCCAAAATTATTGAAATATATAGTGTATACATGATGACACAGACTGATGGTATACCTATACTTCTTCTCCTTTGTTTTTCTATAGTTGTATATGTTTGAAATTTGAAACATCGAAAATGTTCACTAGAAGGCAGTTTCTTACATTCTCAATTTCCGGTTCTTCTGGAAATGACATCAACATTTGATTTTCAAATAGGACACCATGCATTTAATTCTATAATCGGCTAGGGATTTTTGCAACTAATTCAACGATACTGGGTTTGATTGGGTTATTTCAAACGATTACGAAGATGAATAAATACAAAAAATCTCAATTTTTCCGCAAATGTTCATAGAATGAACAATTGTGAATGACGGAATTAACCTGGGTAATTCCACGCAGAAATATGAATAACGACCTTCCGAAATCTATGCGATGAATCAACGCGAGTGTTTCTTTCCCTAATGCCGATTGATTTAGAATATTTTCGTATATGAGACTACGAAGATATTTGCGATAAAAATTTTAATATACTGAATATGTGTGATAGAGAATGAAATGGCTCCGTTACACCAATTGAATATTCGAAAAGACCTTTTTCATGTTCTGGTTCCCACGAAAAGGGATATCCTGTAATGTTCAGAGAACATCGTGAGAACCAAGGGAAATATGGAAGAAATTGGTGTTCTTCTCAAATTTCGGGAGGTTATATGCCTCGGGGAATACCTACCTTGGCAATATGTTCCAGAGCCTCGCTGTTCGTTGGATGAACGAGTCTTTGGAAAGAGATGTTCTGCAGGTGTCCAAAGTGACCACGAAGGGGTGCGAAGCCTCAACTCGACGGGTTAATCTCGCGGGTACTGGCAAGGGAGGAACAATTGTTGATATTTCAGAAGAGCATCGTCCATGGAAATATCTATGCAATAGAGCCAGATCGCCAAATTTCCTACGGTGTTCCAGAGAAGTGAGTGAGTTCGCGAGCGAGGCATCGCCAACGAGACGAATTGCCCTTTTTTGGGCAGATTTCAACAGTTTCAGGGTATGTTTGGGTGCTGCACTCCAAATATGGAAACAGTATTCCAGTACAGGTCGGATCTGTGCCTTATAGATCATAAGCAGCTGACTGGAAGTGAAATAGCTCCTGGCCCGAAACAGAAAACCAAATTTTTGGGAATGCACTTTTAGCAATTGATATATTAATACCAAGCATCGAAATGGATGTGTTCAAAGGTATAGTTACTCCTGACAAGCTTATGTTGGGCACAGTGAGATCGGATTTTTTAGAGAAGAGGCATGCTTGTTTGTTTGCATTGAAATCTACCAAGTTATTGGATCCCAATTCGAGAATTGTTGCCAAGTCTATTTTTATGTTGTCAACATTTCTCCCTCGTTCGTATAGTTTAATTCGTAATGATAATAAAAAACAGAATATGGAATGAAATACTAGGTGTACCTTTAGAAAATCGAAAGTTGATGTCATTTCCAGGGAAACCGGAAGATAAAAAAATTCGAAAATACACATACCGCGAGCCTGAACTTCACAGGAGCTACCCTACTTCCAAACACTATTTAAAATCCCTGAAGGCGATAAACATATCAAAATGTTTCAACTGTCAAAAATGTAGAAGCAAAAATGAAAATTCACGTAGGTCCTGTATGGTATGTGCATTTTTTCAGATGAAAGAACTAAGAACACTTGGTTAGCTTCACCTACTACCGTAGTGGCCATTCTAGGAATATACCTGTCAATTGTCCTTCACCTTGGACCAAAATTGATGGCTCATAGAAAACCGTACAATCTTAAGACTTTGATGATTGTCTATAACTTGGTGCAAATCTATTTGAACTTGAAATTAGTTTATGACGTATGTATAGTAGCCATTACTTAATTATGAATATTGAAATAGTATATTACACACCGAGCTGGGAAGTGATTAATTCCTGTCGTGAGATTATTTAGTTAATCGAGACGATTGATGAATTCGAATTAAATGTGAATATAGGTTATTTTGATTCAATGATTTTGTTATTTTGTTTTACAGGCTCTCATCCATTTCCTAGGTGACCAAAATTTCAACTTGTTATGTTGGCCCGTGGATACTTCGAAAACGCCAAGGGCAATGAAAACCACAGAAATTGTTTCCTATTTCTTCATATTGAAGATGATAGATTTACTGGATACAGTGAGTGATCATTTCCTTAGGATTTTGTTCAATTCAGAAACCCCAACATCGAAAAACACCACTTGAATCCCCTATCCTCCTCAATTTTATGGAACATCATAATTCCTTTTCATGTGTTGCCAGCTGTTTCAATTTACGGAAATATCAAGTAAATATTTCTCTATTTTTGAATAGATGCAATTTTGACTTGTCGAGATGATTCGATACTCATTGATGTAGTGAATGACATCAATATAGGTTTAACCCTCATTATTTCTAATTCCATTAACAGGGTGGTGAGTCATAACTATTGGGACATAGGCTTGGGACGAATTTTTTGGACCAATATATGACGATGGGACCAAATATGCCTTCATAAAATATTGCTGCGGAAGAAGATACTGGGCGTTTCAATAGAAAAAGTAGTGACTGTAAACTCGCACCAAAATTCATTCACTGACAAGAAATGTAATTCAGCAGCAACAATTATCTGAGAGTCGAAAGCACACTCTTCATAAATGAATTAATATTTGAAATCCCCTTCTGAGATTTTTCACTATTCAATTGCGTTTTTCCCGATATCGGATGAAAAAATTGTTTGCAAACAGGAGTACTAATATAACATAGAAATGATGTTGATGTCATATTTTTCAATCAGAATTCCTGAAAATTTTCGTAAAAAAAGATATTAGTCGATTTCATCATGAGGATTCATTCACGTGAAGCCCCCCTGTAACAAACGTTAGAATATTACATAACATGATAATCCCTGTACAAAATTATAACTCTGTGCCGATTTTCATAACAATTGATGAATATTCAGTGAAATTATCAGCAAAAAAACAAAAAAATATTCAACTTTAATGCCCTGTATCTTTTTCAACAGCAATATTTTATTGAGGTATATTCGGTTTTATCGCCATATTCTGGTACACCCTTATAGTCTAACTCTAACTCGTTCCACCCATACAAATCGCCAGGAGAGGATGGCATAGCTCCAGTTCTGTTACAAATCGGACTGGAACTTATTGTACCTATACTCACAAGACTCTTTAGAGCCAGTTTAGTCTGGAACTACATTCCACCCAACTGGACTGCGACTAGGGTGATCTACATTCCGAAGATAGGTCGGACTGACCCACACCCTAAATCGCTCAGACCCATTAGTCTGACATCCTTTCTGTTGAAAAGCATGGAGAAAATACTGGATGGACACATGAGGTGCGGTGTACTAACAAAACACCCCCTTAATGTTCACCAGTATGCCTACCAAGCTGGCAAATCAACAGAACTTGCCCTCAATAACCTGGTCTCAGGAATAAACGACGCCCTGGAACAACAGGAGATAGCAGTCGCAGCATTCCTGGACATAGAAGGAGCATTCAACAATGCACTACCTCATTCCCTCTATGAGGCTACTGCCTCCAGGGGAATTGAACCAATACTATGTGACTGGATAAGAACTATGCTTCATAGCAGAACCATAACGACCTCCCTACAGGGGGAAAGTGTCGGCTTCAAGCCAGCCAGGGGCTGCCCGCAGGGGGGAGTCCTCTCCCCTCTGCTGTGGTCACTGCTGGTGGATGATTTGCTGGCCATTCTCTCGATATGGGAGGTCGATCTGCAAGCATATGCTGACGATCTGGTCCTAGTAATACGAGGCAAATCCGAAGAGACGATCTCCTACGTCCTTCAGGATATACTAGATACCATATATAAATGGTGTGAGAGGGAGGAAATGTCCATTAACCCCCACAAAATGGTCATAGTACCGTTCACCAGAAAAAGGAAGCTGGAACATCTAAGACCTCCTTCCATCAATGGTGTAACAATTCCTTTCGCGAGTGAAGCAAAATATCTTGGACTAACCCTTGATAAAAAGCTAAACTGGAACTCGCACCTGGAAAAGACTATCCGAAAGGCTAGCCTATCACTATGGACATGCCGCAGAATATGTGGCAAAACATGGGGCATGTCACCAAAACAAGTATACTGGCTGTACGTGACCGTCATACGACCTATGATCACGTACGGCTCTGTAGTCTGGTGGGGCAAAGGCCAACAGAAAATGGCCCAGGCCAAACTCAATGGACTACAGAGACAAGCGTGCCTGGCGATTACGGGGGCCATTTGCTCCACGCCAACAGCAGCAATGGAAGCCCTTCTTGGACTACTTCCTCTTCACATAGTTCTGGAGAGAGAAGCAAGATGGGCAACATACAGACTCCACCAAGCGGCCACTAGTCAACCGCAGGCAATAGTCATGAGAGGCAGCAGCATGCTGGAGGGCATAATAGCTCACAACATTCTGGGAATGCCCTCAGACATCATGCCTAAAACTATCAACCTTCACAAATCCTACACGGTGGTCTTCCCTGAAAGAGAAGACTGGGCTCGGAACGAAACTGACCTATATAGGGCTAATGAATGTTGGTTCACCGATGGTTCTAAAACTCTGGAAGGCGTCGGAGCCGGAATATACGGGATGAACCCAGTAGTGAAACGCTCATTCAGCATGGGCAAATTAGCTACGATATTCCAGGCAGAGGTACATGCCATTGAAATGTGTGCAAGGGAGTTGGAAAATCGACACCACACACGGAAAACAATAAAAATATTTTCAGATAGTCAAGCAGCACTGAAAGCGCTTGAATCCAACTGCTTTAAATCTAAAGCAGTATGGAACTGCAGAGAAACCTTGAACCAACTAGCAGAACGTAACAACGTGAACCTAGTTTGGATACCAGGTCACACGGGCCTAGTAGGAAACGAAATAGCGGACGCCCTAGCAAAAGGGGGGGCCGAAACACCGTTCACTGGGCCAGAACCGATCATCGGTATAGCATATAGCACTGCCAAGAATGCTATAACATCCTGGGCAGATAAGAAAAGACTCGAGTACTGGCGCAGTCTACCGGGCCTAGCCCATTCCAAAGCATTTATTGCTGGTACAAGGAACAAACAGGACACTGACAAACTACTAGAACTCAGCAGAGCAGATCTCAGAGTCATAGTAGGGTTGCTCACTGGCCACTGCAAACTCAAATACCACATGCACAAAATCGGACTTGCACAAGATGCAGAGTGCCGCCTATGTATGGAGGAGGATGAAACGGCGAAACACATCCTGTGTACATGCCCCGCAGCGGCCAGAACCAGATTTTCAATATTCGGCAATACAACAGTAAGGCCAGAAAACCTGGTAAATTGTTCTCCCAACGCAATCCTCAATTTCGTTAAGAAATTGGATATACAGGGAGAAATATAACCCTAGGGTGAGCCACAATAGGCCAATGGCCGCAGTGGAGGGCCTGACAATAGGCCCACTCACGTTCAACCTAACCTAACCTAACCTATGTCTCAATGTAACTTCTTCAATTCTTGTCCGATTTTGGTGAAACTTCGAAAAAAAATTAAAAGCCTGAATATTGGTTCCTATAAGAAAAGCTGATGGCTTGAGTATTATAGAGGGAAAAACAAAACTCACTCTTTCACCCTTAACTTCTCAACACCCTGTGGCGAAAGTATGTAGTTACATTGTTGTTGATTCACGTTGATATAACCACTTTTTGAGATGGATTTTTTTTATTTTCATTAACAATAATCCAGAACCATTCTCTTCAACCCAGGGACGAACCGAAAGAAATTTTCTGGGGGGGGGGGTAGTAAGTGAATTTCGACAACTAATCATCATTGAATTTTCCAATTTTCCTTGTGGACAGGATAATAATGATCACCCTAGATGGATTATTGAAGAACGTTGTCTTTAATTTGAGACTGAAAACATATGGAACATAATTATGCAATATGGTATTTTCTCATCAATAGGAAATTTCCAAATTCGGAGTTTGACTGGGAATACTGAGATACAAGCAATTCCATTTTTTATAAGTTGCCAGCCGGAAATTCAGAGTACGCAGTTGAAAATCCAGGGTTCAAACAGAGTATTTTATTTTCAGATTGAAAACCTGTAACTGGAAATTTCATTTTTCGAACTGAAAATTCGGAATTTAATTTTCTCGACTTCATTCATCGAATTCTCTACTCATATCAGTCGCAAAGTTTGAGTTTGCAGTTGAAAGTTCATACATATAGGTTGAACTGGAAATGTATAATTATTGTCCTTCATGTTTACACTTGGAAATTCCTACAACAAAATCAGAAAATCCTATTTTTGAAGTTGGAAATCCCATGGAACGTTTCTTTTGTAATACTTTCCCAAACTCAATTTGCCAACTCGCCTTAGATTGGGGAAGGGGATGATCACCCCGTAATTGAGAAGAACGCCTAATAAGGAATTCCTTATCACAAGCGGCTCCGACGCCTCATCGGTATTCGTAATCATCGTGTGATCGAAGATTGAAGCAGGTTTAGTGATTAGCATCGTAGCATCAGAACGAATCACTGGTAGATGTTGTAGTTTTATAAACGGTCATCACTGTACAAGCCGCCCTGAGTGAATAAAAATGTGTTTTAGTGTTGGAATTGTGTCTATCTACGATAACTCCATTTAGAATTTTATATTATAACAATAATTCAGAACCCAGAGCATCAGGAATGAACTCTCCAAGGACTAGAGCTACGATTCACCCTTCAAGGACAATTTTAGGCGATTCTCCAAGAAAATTTTAGTGATTACGGTTTTCTTGGGTAAGTGCTGAAAAAAATAGGTAAAAATAAAAGATATCAATTGTTTTAGTTGTTAATCAATGAGTTTATGTAGGTTCTGATTATTGTTAATGAAAATTGAAAAATGTCATACTCTCTTATAACACTCGTATCTTCTATTGAAAATGAGGTATTAACGTGAATCCAAAACTCTCGTGTTGAGAAGGGATCACACTTCGATCTCAAAGGAAAAGGCCGAGTTCAACCATTGAATTTTGCCACAGGGCGTTGAGAAATAAAGGGTGAAAGAGTATCTTTGGTTTTTCCCTGTATAATGATCAATTCATCAACTTTTCACGGAAACTAATATTCAGGCCAACATTCCGGAACATTAATCTACGATTTGTTTGTGATTTCACGACAATCGGAAAAGGATTTAAAAAGTTACAGGGTGAAATATTTGGGCAAAATTTTGGGTGGCCTGTTCTTTTTGCCGGTGTAGTAGAATTCAGTGTTTTTGCCTATCATTATGCTTGTTTTTCAGGTGATCTTCGTACTTCGCAAGAGCTACAAACAGATCAGCTTCTTGCATTTGTACCACCATGCTGGCATGATAATGGCAACATGGATAACATATCGTTATCTTCCTGGAGGACATTCCGTATTCGTAGGACTGGTCAACTGTCCAGTGCATGCAATCATGTTCGCCTATTATCTAGGTACCATCATCGACAATAAATGGGGAAGATCTGTGATCTTCAAGAGGAGTCTCACCCAACTACAGTTGGTATGTGCCCAAATCATTTCACTTTAGAACACTATCACAATCAAGTCAATATACAGGGTGTTTCGAAAAAAACCTAACCATCCTGCTAGGGGAGGTAGAACATTGCAAAATAAGTTGGGTTTGCTCTGTGAAAAAATGTCGTAACGGCATCCGTTTTCATGATACAAGGTATTGAAAATCACAATCAAGTCAATATACAGGATCTTTCAAAAAAACCTAACCATCTTGCTAGGGTAGGTAGAACATTGCAAAATAAGTTGGGTTTGCTCTGTGAAAAAATGTGGTAACGGCATCCGTTTTCATGATACAAGGTGTGTTGAAAAAATTATGATTTTATACATTTTTCACGATTATTCCGAAACTACTGATAACATTGTAATGGAATTCTGTATGAATGTTTCTTGAATTCTGTTTTTATATCTGACTCTCATAGAGGGCGCTAGTTACACGGTTCGTACCAAGTAGTTTGGAACATAACTTTTTTGAGGTTATATTTTCCAATCCAAATATGATACGAACTTGAACATCATTCAATTTTACACCAAAAAGGCACCCTTGGTGAAACCCGATACTATGTTCCGTTTTCGGAATATTTCGATTTGAAAATAATGGAGTAGTAATGATGCTGGGTATAAAATGAATTTTTTCTACAAACGTCAAAAAATGACAAGGTTCGCGCGTTGATAACAAATTGCGAAGTGACACTTTTTTTCAGTTTCCTACGTTACCATGATATCTTGCACAAAACAATGCGCGAAGTAAAACAGTGCGCGAAGTACCTACTTCGCGCATTGTTATGTAAAATATATGAGATATTTATATTTCAACTTTTCAACTTTATGGTCCTCAATCGAGCAAACATCCACGAAGTTATTTATTTTTGAATGTTCGACAATAACTTCGTTTTATCTTTTAGAGCGCACAAAAGGAAATTCCTATTATGTTCGTGGAACATCTTGCGTATCTAGGGAGGATACGGGGAGGCCTTTTAAGCCAGTTCAACACTATTTTTCATATCATGCTAAGCATATTTTTACTTAAGAACGATACTTTTTGACGTTTGTAGAAAAAATGTTGTTTGCAGCTCGAGCGCGAAATACTTTGGTCATCTCGACTATTTTTTAACTCGGCTACGCCTCGTTAAAAGAATCAGATCTCGATCACCAAAGTAGCATTTCGCGCTCTAGATACAAAAATAACTATTATTGAGTTCGATTACCTATTTATTCAGGTTCAAAAACGATAAAATTATTCTTATGCTGAAGTTATTGATGGACCAAAGAATTATAAGTAGAAAATCAAGACATATTTGACTAGAAACATGAAATATTGAATCAGTTAGAGTAAGTGTTCAAAATGTCCTACGTTTCGAGGAATACACGATTCTATATTATTTTTTTAAGAATGTATTATTCTTCCGAACAGTTGAGGAACAGCTGTTGGGTCGTTTAAGTGATGTTCAATTATGTCTCACAACTCTTGACGTGAATTTACCTATGAAGCATAGACTATCTGCTCAAGATACAACAAAACTGTGTAATCCATGTTCTCAATCAATTCTGTTTCGATGTTATTCTTGTGATTCATTGTTAAATCTATGAGTTTTGCATCAGAAATGTATTGTTGTTTTCGGTTTTCAATAAATAGGTGATAATTTTTCATAATACTCACTCTAATACATAGCTTTTATACCAACAACAGTTACCACTTCATCATTTTCAAATCGAAATATTCCGAAAACGGAACACAGTATCGAGTTTTACCAAAATTGCCTTTTTGGTGTGATATTGAATGATGTTCAAGTTCACATCAAATTTGGATTGAAAAATCTAACCTCAAAAAAGTTATGTTGTTCCTCCCTTGGCAGTCCCTGCGAGATTAACCCGTCGAGTTGAGACTTCGCACCCCTTCGTGGTCACTTTGGAAACAACATCTCTTTCCGAAGACTCGTTTATCCAACGAACAGCGAGGCTCTGGAACACATTGCCAAGGTAGGTGTTTCCCGAGGGATATAACCTCCACAAATTTAAGAGGAACACCAATTCCTACCTTATTTCCCTCGGCTCTCACGATGTTCTCTGAACATTACAAGATATCCCTTTTCGTGGGAACCAGAACATGAAAAAAAAATGCTTTTCTAGTATGTCGCTCTCAGTCCCTTCGCGACACGGTCATTCAAGTACATCGCTATTTCAGCCCGTCGCTAATTCACATTGCCGTCCCGATAGAAATATTATTATTGCCGCTGTTCGAGTCCATCGTGTGCCTTCACGACACCGTCCCTGAATTTCATTGCTCACACGATTTCGTTGATCAACTGTCAACTGAATGACTCGACTTGACTGAAAATTAGTCTTTGAAACTCGATCTCTAACCACCATTGTTGAAGTTGTACGGCTACAACCACTGCATATAAACTATAAAGAAATCTCAGTTCTCTTTCCCAAATCGTGGAAAACATCTTTTGAAAGATGGCAGAAATATCGGCAACCTGATTTCCAAGAATTCCAGAGCCTTTGAGGCTTAAATATTGGTCAATCTATACTTGAACCATGATACCTTATTTTTTCTGTTGGATGAAGAATTCAGGAGTAACTGAACTCTTCGCCTCTAACTATTGTTTTTATTTCAGGCACAATTCACATTTTTCGTGTTCGTGTATGGAGCTGTGGTACTGAATCCAGCTTGCACATTTCCAAAGATTCCTACTTATCTTTTCCTATGCCAAAATATCTTCATAACATTATTGTTCGCCGACTTCTATAGGAAAACGTATGTGGGGCAAAAATATGATAACAAAGTGAGTAAATTGAAAGTTTTGTTGTGTATGGAAATTGAATATTTCTTTATGTACCATGGACAAAAAGCTGTCTATTATACTGGAGCCTTAAACACTTATATCCACTTGAAATCTATCGAATTTCGTGAATGATCAATTTGACAACAGCAGATGACAGTTATTGTTGTCAACCCACTCTCCACGCGGACCAGGATTGCCAGTCATCAATAAACACCTTGTCAAAAATTCAGAAGTATTTCATGCTATGCGAATTCCGAGAAAGGATTATGAAATAAACCTATGACGTCAAAACGTCATGTACTTTCAATAAACAGAAAAGTAACCTCTTTCCAACTAAAAAGATACAAACAAAACAAACATTCTCATTGAAAATAATCATATTTCTAATTGTCAATTTGAAAATACTCACAAATATTACAAAATACAGTTACATAGGTAGTTATAAGTTTTGAGTATATAAAAAACAGGAACGAATAGTAAAAATAAACAACAAAAACACAATACAAATGAGAAATCTGAATGTTAGAAACAAACTGTTATAACAGATGAGGTTTATAAAAATTCAATTTGATCTGAATCAGATAAAGCATTGTCCTGTAATGATTTATACATATCTGGTACCTATATGTAAAATTACTTATTTTGGAAAATGAATTTAAACAGACGGAGCCGATATATTATGCAATTTATAACTATACCATTTTTTGCAGCTGAAACTTGAGAAGGAGAGTCGATGAGGTGAAATTATATTTTCAGCTACTTGTAACATACCTCCTAAAAACCTGTATTATTTTAAATAAGTATGTACGAAAGAATGGAATAAAAACAACACATCAGGAGCATGGTAATTTTACTGTCCAGTTTTATTCACCTGTATGTATGTAACCGACTCCTTTAGACTCGATTTTGACTTTTGACCCACTTTAAAAAGATCGATTGATTCAAAATTTGGCAGGTGTACATGATTATGGTGATAATGCATCATGAAATTTTTGTTCGACATCACAGATTATGATTCTTTCGTCGAAATTTAAAAATTCAATATGACGGATCCAATATGGCTAACGGGTTTTCTATTTATGATCCGATTCTACTAAAAATTTGTATCTGGTGCATTTTGGCGTTGGAGATTATAGTTCTTTCGTCAAAATTGTAAAATTCAAAATGGCGGATCCAATATGGCTAACGAGTTTTGTAATTATGATCCGATTCTATTAAAAATTTGTTTCTGGTGCTTTTTGGCGTTGGAGATAATAGTTCTCTCGTCAAAATTGTAAAATTCAAAATGGCGGATCCAATATGGCTAACAAGTTTTGTGATTATGATCTGATTCTACTAAAAATTTGTATCTGGTGCTTTTTGGCGTTGGAGATTAAAGTTCTTTCGTCAAAATTGGGAAATTCAAAATGGCGGATCCAATAAAGCTAACAAGTTTTGTGATTATGATCTGATTCTACTAAAAATTTGTATCTGGTGCTTTTAGGCGTTGGAGATAATAGTTCTCTCGTCAAAATTGAAAAATTCAAAACGGCGGATCCAATATGGTGGACAAGTTTTGTAATTATGTGATCCGATTCTATTCAAAATTGGTATCTGGTGGTTTTCGGGTTAAGAGATTAACAAAAAATGTGAGAACCTTGAAAAACATACTTTTGCAGTTAGCCGAACTGAAGCATAAAAAATAAATAGTAGTTCAAAAACCTTAAGAAATACCCTTCCATAGATAGCCAAACTGTAGAGAGGTAGAAAATGAAATAATAAGAGTGTGTGTGATTTACGAAAGTGGTAATATTTTCTATGTTGTGTACTTATCAACTCACTTTCATCATTTTATATGTATAAGTACGGAAAAACTCAAGGGGTGATTGATCTAATTGCACTAGAAGAAGCTTCCTTATGACTATCAACAGAACAACAACGTTTCATTGAAATTGATGAGAAGACAATTAAGGAATGAATAGAAAAAATATTTCTCATGAAAATATTAATACCCTGTATCTCGAAAAAGAAGCAAGTTAGGACACATGTTTATAATACCTTCATTTCCTAAAATATCACGAGAAATCACCTCTTGAATTTTTTCGGTATTATTTAGGTACACTCTGTATAACAAGATAGGTACCTACCTATTTCTTCAGTGACTTTTCTTAATTTTTCTTTCATTTAGGAAGTTTTTCCTTATTAGATTATATTCCCTATGTTCTTTGAAACTCTTTGCTATAAGACTTTTGCATTTTTGTAGAGCAACCAAAAATAAATTTTGTGAAGTGGCTTTTGTGATGGATCTGACATGATTCTCTCATGAAATGGTATCGCTGATGGAAATATCGAGCATATTATAGTGGTGGTACCAGACATAGTATTTCTTCTATAAATTCGTGTTATTGATGTCTATTGAATTTTTTTAGACGCGTCCTTGTCATAGAAATCATTTAATTCAGTGGCGTAATTAAGGGGGGGGTCCATGAGGTCTGCCCCCCCCCCCCAGAGTTGTCTGAATAACCGAAAAAATCCAGTGAACAATGGAAAAATAGACATGAATATAGGAAATATCACGAGAATTTCATTTGGAATTTATTAGAACCTTCCGAACGAAAATCGTAGGTTAGTTAGGTGACCTATTGTCATTGGAAACGTACGATTGTATAGTTGTGGAGAGATGAAGAAAATGATAAAAAACCATAAATGTTTTGTGGCCATTCCTCACGAACAACAATTTCAGAACAAAAACAACATCTTCTGAAAATCGGCATGCCCTTGCCGTTTTGGACACACATCTATTTTCTTCCGCTTTAAAAATGATGTGAACCGAGTTTTGAGACCCAAATTTTATGTTACGAAAGAGAAACTATCTGACTTTGAATTGCATGATCTTGTGGGGCATAAAAAAATTCAAGAATCCGGTAGGTAACTTGCAATTTGCATTGGTTTCGAACGCTTGCATACGAAGGTGATCGTATGTCGGAACGCATTTGAGACTACTATTTCAGAGCGTGCGGTACTACAATACTTGCACTTGATTCGTTATTATGATCACAATTTCAGATAATCTTTTGTTTTTTACCCAACTTACAATGACTATAGCTCGAAGGAGGAGCATTTCAGGCCACACCATTGTATGAACAACAATAGGTACTCAAGATATTTACATCGAGTTTCGAATCACCTCTTGTCACCATCTCCCCAAAAGTAGTCTCTTCATTTCAACAAAAAAAAAATGATACAGTTCAAATTTTCCTATTCTGCAGTCACTAAATTCTTCGATTTTTTTTTGTTATTCTGTTTTTTTTTTGTTTCTATTTCAATGTTTGTACCTGTTAATTGATATGTGATAATATTTGATTATTTTTCGTTATTTTTTCTTTATTTTGGTATTGGTTCCAAATGATGCACACATATATTGAAACTTACGTAAGTTACGCCCCCCCCCCCCCAGGAATGAATCTTAATTACGCCACTGATATTATTATAATGTATATAATATGATTTCTATGGTCCTTGCCTATAATCAAAATCAAGTTCAAAGGTAAGCTGAGAGAAAGTCCTCGTATGTGCATTCCGAAGAAAAGAATCATGAAGGCGTAACTTTCTTTCGACGTAAAGCAGGTTACAGTGCTAAACGAAACATGATGAACACTGAAGAGGATGGATATCGTGTTGATTCTTCCATTTCTTCAATCTGACGGTCTTCAATCTATGTCGGAGCCCACTTAAATGTGATCTGCTGGACCTTGACATTGTATCAGCTTTCGATTTTGCAATGCAGATGTAATTCGAAGATCCATTCAAGTTTTATTGTTACATATGTTCGATTATCGGTAACTGAACGGCAGCCAGCAGATGTCTTGGTAACATACAAAAAAAATCGAAAAATTGTGGAATATATGGAAGCAAAATCTCTCTGAGACAAACGAAACATGATGAACACTGAAGAGGGTGGATCTCGTGTTGATTCTTCCATTTCTTCAACCTGACGGTCTTCAATCTATGTCGGAGTGTGATCTGCTGACCTTGACATTTAGTGTAGAGAAAAACGAGGCAAAATCCTCTTCCTTACAGACTTTTTTTTTTTTCGAAGTTGAAAGATATGGGACCTTCACCACCTTGAATATAAATGATTATTATACATAATATTCCAGCTTGACTACTTGTTTCTATGGTACCGAAAAGAGTTATAAGCTACCAAACTCGAAAATTTAAGAAAAAAATAACTTCGCGCGTAAATAAATAAACCATTGGAACTCCGCAAGTATAACACTTACAATATACACGCAGTCTTTTCATAATATGATTGAGCATATTCTGGAGATTCGATTCATATATAATATGTTGGGAAATTGAATTATTTTTCGATCCAAAATGTATCATTTTGTACAGAATTCGCGAAAAATGTTCCATTGTCATCTCTTCAGTTCATCATAACTTTTTAGTTCACGATATAAATTTCGATTTTCATGATATCTTTTGATAGATTGAAATGTGAGCAACAAATTGTTTCCTATAAACTGTCTCATTTGCGAATGGAGCGTTCTTGATGATTCCTTTGCCCTCCGAACTGACAGCCCTGTGGATCATCGTATAAGAGGAACAATTTTAGTTTTATCATTCCAAATGGTAAGATCATGTGATAGGTACATGGCGAAAATGAAAGACAGATAGTTTCTGTACGAGTAGCTGAATTCGAAAAAAATATGTTCCTATCTTAGATTCCTCAATATCATGAGTTATTTTCGAAGGTTTTCATCTTGACTCAAACAAGCTATTGTCAACCTGCAGACATTGATCTGAATATCAAAACATTCTGAATAATATCGGTTTACTAATGATCTTTAAATTTCAAAGCCTACCAAGTGTCGATATATCATCGAATTCATGTCACAGCAAACTTATTCTTTTTGAATAAAAAGCAATTCAACAGCGAATTAAGAAATAAATGCCACTTTGTGATACATGGTTGGATAGAGAATTTCAAGGCGAAAAAGATAGACTGAAGAAATGTACAGGATGACATTTTAAAAAAAAGTTGGTGTCACTTCCGGTCAAACAGGTGGTTGAAAAAAATTGTCGTTAAGTTCGTGAAGTGCGCTACCATTTATTATATACCCCCTGTGAATTTCAAAGTTTCATCTCCTCAAATAAAAAAACTACAGGCTGCTATATGTCTCCTGTGTATATTGTAACAGCTTTCGATATTGCAATGCAGATGTAATTCGAAGATCCATTCAAGTTTTATTGTTACATATGTTTCGTTTCGCACTGTGTTCGAGTATCGGTAACTGAACGGCAGCCAGCAGATGTCTTGGTTTTCTAACATACAGAAAAAAATCGACAAATTGTGGAATATATGGAAGCAAAATCTCTCTGAGACGATGAAATCGAATCATCTTCATCTACTAGAAACCACCCCTTCAAATTGCACCCCTATACTGTCTCTAGGTTAATCGAGAAGGTGGTACATTCATTATGTGATATAGCTACTGTGAATAGGGGAGTACCGCATGGATCAGTTTTGGGTCCCCTCCTGTTCCTGATTTACATAAATAATCTCCCTTATACTATGAATTTTATAAACGCATCAACCATTATATGTATGCGGACGATACAACGTTTGGCATTGAATTGGGAAAAGAAGAAGATAATGCACTTGTTCTTTCACTTATCTTGGAGAAGGCTAGGGCTTGGTTCGAGCACAATGATATGCTACTAAATGAAAGTAAAAGTCTAAGTCAAACTTTTG